CATGATGGAAGAGAGGTACATAGAAATTTAGAAAGAAACTGAAGAATCAGTAATGGCAGTGAGGATAACAGAAAAATGCAGAGTGGTGTTGGTCCGTTTGTATATCCCATAATAGGGATACAATAACCTGGAAAAATCCTTGACCTGACTGCATTTTTCCCTGTTGGATACCATAAGGAAAACCTTATGTCATTTACAAATGATGGAGAATGAAGTCAGATGTAGATTCATACATTTCTCATAGGCATTAATGCAAAGTGAAGACAAGCAGCCTTAGTTGGTATTTAAATTTGACTTGCCGATTCCATTTTCCATGCTGATAATTGTTAAGGCAGCTAATACTTCTGGTGAGACCATAAATACAAGAATACTTCAAATAATGAAGCAGTGATAATAAAAAGTCCCAATTTTTTTAAAATTGGAAATTCACTAATGAATATTGGAATAATGCAGTGATGGCGTTATTGTTTTAACATTTTTCAGCTTAAAAATGTTAAGAAAAAAAAAATTTATTGCAAAAGTTTGTTCAACTAACATCCTCATCTTTGTTTTATATTCTCTACATTTTAATCACTGCATTTGTCATGTTTGTGATGAAAAAACTTTACAAATCTCTATAAATAAAGATTTAGTAAAATGAATAGAGAGATTTGAATTATAATTAAAACATGTTCTATTAATTAATCATTTACAGACAAAAAACATTGATACAATATTTCTTCTGAGGGAAAACCAACTTAAAATAAAATTTAATTAAATTTATTTCTGGAGAAAAATAAAATTTATGCAGCCTTTAAAACATTTATCAAATTATTAATCTGCAAAGTTTCAGGTTTTAGGAATTTATAACTGTCTACTCTCCAATTAAGAGACTTTGAAATAGAATTTGTCTGCTATTTACCTGGAGTTTCTTAACAATCAGCAATATTATTGGTCCTGATCTGGTTGCTTGGCTTCAGTCACTTACCCACTACTGTAAGTTTTCCTCTCTGTACCTTTTCTATAAACACTTTCATGGTAATTGTTCAGATGAGTTCTTCACTATGGTACCTAGACTTCATGAATTTAAGCACACTACTAGACTGGCGTCAAGATCCCATTAATTGACAGTTGAGTGGGCTAGATCTAGCATTAAGTTCTATACTAACGGTTATTTTTTTTTTTTGCACTTCTTGCTTGTGGATTTTAAATGCAATGCTAGTCACTATCTACTGTCCTCCTAATTACCCTTTCCTCTTCCTGCTCATTATTGTTTCTGTTTCTAATTCTTCCACACCCTGTAACCTCTTGAGTCTTAGTGGCTTTATTGCCTTGCATATGGTGATACCGATTTAAAAAAAAAAAAAAAAAAAAATTTAAATATTCATGTGGAGCCTGGTGTCTGCTATTCTGTTTGTACTTTTAGTATAAATAGGAGACAACATATCAAGCAATCAGTTAGTCAAAGAAGAAATCTTCCATTGGTTAGTCTATTTCCATTTCCAGTGGTATGAAAACTTTTCAGTGGAAGAAAATTGACCGTAAATGGTCTTTGGAAAAAAAACACCAACAATTTTGGAATATAAAATTTCAAATTTACACTTTATCTGTTTTCTCTTTTTCCTTGTTCACTGTGGACGAGTTGAATATTTTAACTGGGTCAAATCCCCACCCCCACCCAAACTATCCTTTGCCTTTATTGTCATTATTCTACAATCTTTGACAAATATCCTCATCTTTGTTGGTTTCATCCCTAAATTTTGACCAATGTGTTTTTCTACCTTCCTCAAATGTCTAATTCATCTGGTTGGTGTTTTATCTTTTAGATTGTTTGGAATTAAAAATCTGAACATTCACAAGATCCATAACATCATATTGGTTGATTTTGTATTATGGGACTTATAAAAATAATCCTATTCCCTTAACCTTTAGTGCAGACATCAGGCATCATGGCATAGTTGACTCTTTCCCTCTTCATGAAATGAGGAGGTGCTGCTAGGAGATTGAACCTTAGGCACCAAATTAATTTTCATTTTCTGGATCCATGGCAATAATAATAAAAAAAAATTCCAGCTCAGTGTATTTCCAAACACATGCACAAAAATATTATTTTTGGTATTTCTTTCTGAATTTTTGATGATTTTCATTGTAATCCAAATCAGACAGTAAACAGTATAGATCAGAAATGAAACCATGGTAGCATAAATAGAAGACCAGCTGCTATAGATAGGCAGGTTTTACAGAGGTAAAAGGGATGAAAGTTCAAATCTTATCTGGAGTTTCTTTATTTCTGAACCAGCATTTTTTTCATTCACTCCTTTATTCTTTTGCAAAATTTGAAATGAAAACTATTTAAAAATTTATGGAAAACATTCAATAATTATTCAATTGAGGTGTTTTCCAGCTAAAAAGTTTTTTTGTTTATAAATAAAAGTTTGAATAAATCTTTCTAATATAAATATATATCTATCTCTAAAATACATACATACACACACACATATATATATATATATATATATATATATATATATATATATATATATATATATACATGAGATAGTACAAAGTTCTTGGCTTGTTGAAGTTGTCCTTCCAAAAAATTAAAAAAAAAAAATTGCTATTTGGTCAGATTCAGGGAAGTCGTTAGAGCCAAGACCTCTTCACCACCATCACCACTATATGGTCTAAAGATTGTGTTCATGTATGAAACCCTGTGGCCACTCTGTGTTGACCTTGGTGTCCATTCTTATATTACATTTACTCTATTCCAGATATTAAGCACTTTTACCCATAAATATAGTATACCTTAAAATTATATTTTTATTATATTCCTATGAAAGGATGGCCCTAGTCATAACCTGAGTTTCATGCTCATGTGATCTTCAGATGACTTGAATGTAACAAAGAAGTCATGGTCATGAATTATATAAAACTGGTCCCCCATCCTCTTTTATTTGTGTTCAAGTTGTCTGAAGATCATGTGAGTGTGAAACTCTGGTTATGACTAGGGCCATCCTTTCATAGGAATGAACTTTGTCAAGCTTTTTTTGCTCTGTGTAGGCAATCTAGGCTTTGAGCACTTGACTGAGTAGGTAGGTTTGCCTTTTTTTTTTCTTTCATCAGTATTGTCATTGTTGTTTGAGATTTAATCTATATAAGGATTTTAGGTCTGTTGGCAAGTTGTCTGTTGGTTCCATCAACAGTTTTGGTTTTTCTGCTCAAACCTCTTTAAATATCACCAGATAGCTGCATATATCTGAGGAAGGTTTGAGAGCACAAAACATAGTGACTGAAACAACAAAAATGAAAATACTAGTCAGTAATTCAAGGAATAATGCAAAAAAAAAAAAAATGTTAAATTTATAAAAATATTTCCAAAAACCATATTTGGATAACACAATACTAAAGTTGTAAGGTGTGGGGGGCAAGTGCCAGATAATTGTAGATGCAAAGTCTGACTCAATACCACAAAAGTTGCTTTTGAGTAGCAACTAAACACCTTAAACTGCTTAATAACCTGTTAGACGAACTTGTTGGCCATCAATTAATGGTTGACACCCTTTTAGATATTTGCTATTTTAAGTTTAGCATAAACTGGTACAAGGCCACAACACCTGTGGTTACTTAGTAAGGATTGAACTTGCTGCACTAGCAATTGACAAGCTTGTTAACCATTACTTTGCGACAGGTGCTCTCTGCCAGACTGTACACTGTATATAGTATTACATACTCTTCAAATGTGATTTTAGGGTTGATTGATTTGTTTTGTTTTTTTATGGATTATCAACCCTTTAAAGTCAAAACATTTTGTATTTTAAGAATAAATCTTTTTCTTGTGTGTGAATATTGCAGTAATAGTTTTTTGAGAATAACAATTTTTCCAGATACAAGTTCTACTATTTAACCCATAGCTGTGGGGAAGAGAAGGATTCATAGCTTTCCTAAGGGTATTTGTACATATGTAAATGTAAGCTGCTATCCATTACACCACCTGAACATCCAAGATTTTAGGAAGATTGTTTGACTTGAGAAAGTTATTGATAAATATACTACTACAAAATAGCAATTGAAATATATTCAGAAATGTGACTTCACAAATATAAAACTTGTAGATGTTTAAAGAGACACATGTGGGTAAAGGAAGGCAAAGTATGTAATCTGGTCACATGATTCAAGTACACATAAGATTTGTGCTTTGAGCATGAAACGCATATAGAGCAGCCAACAAGCATTGAAAAGGTATGCTTCCAGCTCGAGACTTTGTCCTTTGCCTTTTCAGATATGAGATAAAGAAAGCTTACTACAATTTGAGTTGAAATTAGTTGAACAGTGGGTGACATTCACTTATATTTTCCTTTACATCCTACACTTGAATGAAGCAAGAACTCTTAATCACGACTCCAAAAATTGTGTTTTTTTATTCATAAACTCTAGATCAGTTGTACTACAAACTATTCATTATATTACATTTTGTGTTGTGACTGATAGTTTCATGATCTATCAAATCTGATTTCAGAATAAATCAAGCACCAAACTGATCAGAACTGAGATATTCTTGTATATCACATAATTAACGGCCATAATGGAGGTACTGAGAAGCAAAACATGACTATGTTGGAGGACAAGTAATTACAAGCAGCATTATAAAAAAAAAAAAATGTCATACAGTCAAGAAATAATTGAAGAAGAAAATCATTTAATACTTTTTTTTTTTTTTTTTAAATAGAAATGGGAGATATGTTTTGGAACAATTTATTTGATTACAAAATTCAGCATTTAATTTTTAATGATTAAGCTTTAGCAAAATTTACATGACAAACCACCAAGACATTTTTTTTTTTTTTAATAGTACTGATGCATTTGGTATAATTGCAGTCTGCGGGCCTTTTATTGTTTCTGGCCACAGTGAAAATAGATTAATCAAACAAATTTATTTTCTGGATGGCCATTTTATAAAGGGCCGAGCAGATGTTATGCATGATAACAAAAAGCTGTAACTATGAGAAAAAAAAAGTGCTTACCTCTTCACTGCTCAGTGTCCGCAAGGTGGCGACACTTACACTTGGTCCTTGCTGGATCCTCGGAAGTCCTTCGAGCAACTGAGGATCTGTATCCAGAACAGCAGCCAGTAACTGATCGATCAACGTACGTAGGCGTTTCTTGCTGTGTTCGATTTTCCGAACTGCTCTTATTACCTAAGGTATAAATGTCCTTAAATACACCTGGAGTTGCAAGCCAGGGTCAGTTTGGGGACGGGGGGGATGAGGGAGTATATTGGAGTGGTGAGAGTAAATTGGATTTAAGGTATGCATTGGTTAGGAGAGAAGATATATTGTTTTTTAAAAAGTTGTTGGGGAAATATTTATATGCACGCCCTGTTTATAATTAAAGATAAAAGCATTTTTTCTTTTAAATAAGAGGGTGGAGTAGAAAATCTGTTTTGAAACTGATATCTCTATTTATTAGGGTTTCTAATAACCATATTTAAATACTTGCATCTCTGATTATTTTTAGGCTGCGTACTTCATATGTAATTACTTAAAAATTCTATTATTTTATTAGATTAAACCTAATTTTAAATATTTAAATTGCTTTACTGAGATGACTTTTGAACTTGTTACAGCAGTCACCTTTCTAACACTGACATTAGTGGGTAGAATTATAAAATGATATCCAAGAATACAAGGCCATGTTTATAAATGGTTTAATTAGTGTGCGCACACACACATATTGTGTGTATGTGGACATGTAGTTGGAATAATAAATCAGAGTTGAATATGAATTCCAATGGAGTTTGCTACATTCACTTACACACAAATAGCCTTGGAAAAGGTATGAATCCATCTCCCACCTAAAAGCCTTGGTTGGCAACCAGTTTAGGAGAAAGACAAATCTGAATTCAATATCTGATTATGATGCACTATGTACACCAGTTCTCTTTATTTGGTTCTGCCAAAAATATGCTTGGTTCTCCACAAGCCTTCACCACGAAAATCAAATCATATGTGCGGTTAGTCTGACTGTTAAGTTCTAAGGACAAAACTATTGGAAACTCATATGCTTAAAATGATGGGAGTCCAGTGTGTGTATGCAATACATGCATGAGTGTATGTATGTATGTATGTATATATATATATATATATATATATATATATATATTTCCATTTCCAAGAGGAAAGAATCCTGGTAGAGTTCAATGTCCAGGACACAGTAAGAATATAATATAAAAAGGCTTAAACACTAATATTCCATGGTTATCATTTATTACATTGAAATCGTAATCATGATCCAATTCATCAGATGTACAAATTCAAAAATAAATTAAAAAATATACCCAGATCTTTATTTTCCAATTTATTGATTTTGTAGGTCTGATGAAGTGGATCGTGATTATGATTCCAATGTAATATAACTATGGAATGTTAGTGTTTGAGCCTTATATATATATATATATATATATATATATTAGTCTAACAGAATGACATATATGACACTTGGTTGAGTAGGTAGAACATTCACTTTCAGACCATGGGACCCAAGTTCAAATCCCACCATGGTTAATATGCCAAGGAAGTGACTTCTTGATGCTATCAACCTGGAGTGGAGATCCCAGCATGTGACACAATTGATGGGAAAGCTCCTGAAAAACCATACCACAGGTTGATCCAAGCCTTGTGAGTGAAATTAGATAGAAGGAATTGTTAATTACAAGTCAATATGACCAAGGGTTTGACTCTACTGGCCTTGTTCAAAATGTTAATCCAACTCTATGGTGAAATCTCTCCCAGAAACTGTAACAAAGTATAAATCATAGGTGGACTCTGTGGGTGTCGAAAAAACACAAGTGTGCTAGAGCAGACATCTGCAACAGTGATTGGCTAGCCATCTTAGAAGACAGGCATACTTAGATATAAGCAGCCAGCCATTATATATATTTTTAAAACATTTTTATGTTTATACATTCTTTTTATAGATACAAATATTCAAGTAAATGTTCTGTTTATAATAAACAGTATTAATAACATTTACTGGCCGGAATGTCTGAGAAATTTTCATAGAAAATATTTGTCCTCCAACAGGAATCAAACCTGTATCCTATATGGAACTGTCATATAGCCTGACATGCCTTTAACCAATTGAGCCACAGAGGATCGTTTGATTAGCAAGGTCGATTTTACTGCTTTTAAACTACAATCATCAATGAGTCTCTCATGTACATTCATATCTGCTCAAAGCGTATTCAAATGTAAACAAATGACATCACACATTATGAAATGGACATTTTTATGTTTATACATTCTTTTTATAAATAAAAATGTCTTAAAAATAATTGTCAGACTTTGTCCATTTCATAATATATATATAAAATAATAACCCCAATAATAACCCCTATTAATATAGATAAAATTATGATTTGACATGTCATGGCAAACAAATTTTTTATCATTAAATAGCTATCTAGAGAAAATAAATATTGGATGTAAAATATTAAAAGTTCAAGATACATATCAAAGGTAAACTCAGTTTCAGGATCCAGATAAGAATATTGCATTAATTACTGCACAATATATATTTTATTTTATAAATGGTAAGTATAACATTTTCTACACTTGCAACTGAAAATCCCATGTTGTCTACAACAATTGAAAATTGAAGAGTGAAATATTGTGAAACTTTGAGTTGATCCTCAATAAATGTTACCAGGTTTTGCTATTTTTTTTTATACAAATTATATATATGTAATTTACATGTATGTAAAAATTTCAGCCAATGCATGTCATCTGATGTGGGAGTTTATCAAGGCAAATGCAAGGATTTTATTTTGTAACAAACATTTATATACAAGATCAAAAATGTTAAATTTTGAAAAACCAATAACATTTTAGCTCTTGTATATAAATACTTGTTAGAAAATGAAATTTTTGCATTTGCCTTGATAAAGTACCACACAGGACGAAAGAATCGGCTAAGTTTTCCATTTGTCTTATATATATAAAGGACTCTCCTGTAGGTTATGATACATGATAACTTAACAAATTCAGTTCTTAGAACTGAACTGCCATACACATATGATTTGATTACCGTGGTGAAAGTTTAAGCAGAAGTGAGCTGTACTTATCAAAAGTGCAGATAACAGAGAAATAGTGCATGGTGTGGCATGAAATTTCCAAACTACTCTCTTTAGGTTTTTCAGTTTAGAGTTGTCATTTTCCTAGACTGGTTACCAATCAAGGCTAAAGTACCTAATCTGCCCTGCTATTTAAGCCATAGCTGGAGGAAGAAGATATTCATACCTTTGCCAAGTGTAAAATTGAATGTAACAAAATCCACTGGGATTCAACCTCAGCTCACTGGCTTCCCATTCTGAGCCACTAACCTGCATATGCTCATATATATATATATATATATATATATATATATATATATATATATATATATATAACCAGAAGCTGTCAATGATTGTGGCCTAGGGTTTGTGCAAGCTAGCCTTGTTTAAAAAATTTTTGATTTGCTAGGCACCTTGGCAGATGGTCAGGCTTATTAATGAACACCAGCTGGCCATGTGTGTGTGTGTGTGTGTATATATATATATATATATATATATATATATATAAGTAATTATACTCGTCTGGAAAAACTTTAGGTGTTTTGGCTTGTAAGTGAACAAACCAATACCCAGGGATAAAAAAAGAAAGGACAAAGAACATGTAATTGAGCCAAAAACAATCGTTCAGAGTCCAAAAAAAATCCTACAAAATGAGTAAAGCAAAAGTAACTAAGTGCTCAATACACTAAGTAGAGCAAATCTAACTATGAACCTAAAGACTAGTTTATATATATATATATATATATATATATATATATATATATATATATATATATATAAGCAAACATTATTTTTCTAAACACATGTGTGTGTGAGACAGAAGGTGTAGATAATCATAGCAATGAATGAGCCTGCAAGACAAGCTTGTTAACCATCTCATATGTTCAAGTTCTCAGATACAATAAGAGACCCACACAGCATTTATTTTTTTTCTGAATATTTATATATTTATTTATAATAAATTGTCAGGAAACCAGGACAATAAGGAGGTTATAATCTCTGGCAAAAGTGGATTCTTGACTTTTCCAAGGTTATTAGTGCAAAGTGAACCTAAATGAACTGTCACAATTTGAACTCTGTTTACAGATACCATTTTTGGTGCTGTTAACCATTAAGCCAATTTTATATCTCCATTTATATATATTATAAAAATACATATAAAAAAAATACTTTCAAATATACTAACAAACTGGACAGTACTCAGAGACTTAGATTCAAAATGTAATTTCATTCTGTGATTGTCAGACGACAAGAATTGAGGCGGAATTGATTAGGGTTGACCTTTGATGTTTTACCAATAACTTGATTTGTTTTTATTTTTCACTTTCAAATAAATATATATATATATATACATATATACATACATACATACACACACATACACAGTGATATAAAACTGTAGTCATTTATGAATCTAATTCATCATTCATTTTCCAAATACAAAGTCATATTAGCTGAAAGGTGACAAATTCTGGCCAAAGATGTTTCACTTTGCACCTATGCCCTGGGGAAAGTTAAGAATCTATCTCTTCTCTCCTCAGCTATGGGTTAATTAGTAGCGGCAGACTGGGCACTTTAATTTGTTAGGGCAACCAGTCTATGAAGAGGAGAACCCTTGTATTAAAACCATGGGAAACCATTTTGTATCTTCCGAGACCAGTTGTAGCAAATTCACCGGTATTAAGGAGAAGGAAGAAATGAAGAGTCATGATCACTTATATCTTGAAGAAATATGGGATTAATAAAAGGAATCTAATCATTGAAGCTTGTAGTAATGGGGACTTGCACAGGATGACCCTCAATCTATCTTCTGTAGGGCTTCAGTGACACATTCAATAGAAAAGAATGCAAAGGGTGTTACAAATTTCTGAAGCCTTGATCACATTTTGTTTTGTGTTGCATTGATAGACCCCAATGACATCTTCAGTCAGTCAGGATGACTGCCACTAAGAAGGAAAATTAGATTTGTATCTATAGAAAGGGTGAGTTACACAGTATCACCCTCACTATTTTCTTTCTCTTACAATTATGCTAGAGTAGAGAGAAGTTAGTATTCATGAATTTCTCAAAGTCACTCATGATGAAACA